CATCTCATGTCCCAAATGACCATCTAATCATGCTTTTTCTTTGAGACAAGACTTTCCATTTCCAACAAAATGTTGGTTGGAAGGAACTTGTGAAATGGTCTCACTGTTGTATTGCGCCAAACAAGTCCTTGACTCTCCTGCCTGTGACTCCGTTGAACCTGTGCTAAGCTTTCGTCTGTATTGTGAATTGCATCGTCAGAGGAAGAATCTATCCTTTACGAAATAGAACAAAAACATACTAAAGCAAGAGAAAAGGTGACCGGCTGCAATCCTAGTCACTGTTTTATACTTCATTAAAACACAAAATAAGGTGTACATTCAAATGTGACTAGTTTTGCAGCCGGACACCTTTCCTCTTGGTTTAGCATAGCTTTTCTTATTTCGTAAAAACAGACGAAAGCTTGGCACACGGCAATTGGAGGGTAGAAGTATTTTGAGCCAAAAACTTCTTCGTCCAATACAATAGTCTACATTCCGCGGCGATCTTTCTTTGGTTTCAGGTGAGACCATTTGATGAATTGCTTACAACCAACTTTTCCTTCAAAGTGAAAAATCATGCCTCAATGAACCATTAAGGTCTTACTCGAAACCCTCTTTTTCTTCATGTCTTTTTTTATTGTTTAATTACTTCCTATAATTGATGCAAAAATATTCTAAACATTTTATTTTTTCTTAATTCTGACTTAATTGGCTTTGAGTTAAAATTGCAAACTCTTCTCTACTTCATTCCTTTTTATATTGTCCCCAAAATTATATAAAAGCGGGAAAAACAATCCAGATTCCCGCCAATTTACCAAAGTGTATCAAGGTGATCAGTTTCATAGTCTATGGGCTAAATGTAACTGATAACCAACCTGTTCGAAAGAGAACCTGTCGTAAATACTTGTGTATGAAAAAAACTATGTGCAAGAGAAAAAGGTGTATGGACTTAGACTTCCCCGTCACGAGATGGCCTTGGTCCTGTGTAAAAAGCCTTTCAGATTAGACAATTCTTCTTCCATTTAATGCAAGGTGCGAATATCGGCTTCTGATTGGTGCTGGGCGGTTGGGCAAGCTTGATGTGATTGGTCAGTATGGGGCCCAATGGTAGGTCCGTGTTCGACCGGTGCGATCGTGATTGGTCAAGATGTGTGTTCCCGCAGTCAGAATGAGAGGTGTTCGTGGGTGTATTGAAACGTACCTGAGGTAAGTCATCAGATACACTCATGTTTGTCGCCAGATGCCGTTTGGCTAATTGGCTTTTGTGGTTGCTCTTGCTCATCGGCGGATGGTTCTGTTCGGCCTTTGACACGTTTTTAAGGTTCTAATTGACTACTAATTGGTGCTATTTTCCTTTCACCCTCTTTCTCAACCTACATCCAGCTTGTTTGGTATTTCGAATCCTACGGTGTTTTGATCATTGGGTCCTGAAACTCGTTCACGCCCTCCTCCACTTTGCCTCGATGGTGTTCAACGGGGTGGCCATAGCTGCCATCTTCCACTTTAAGTACAATTCTACACAGCCCCACTTCTTCAGCATTCACTCGTGGCTGGGCATTTGCTTGATCTGTATCTACAACCTTCATGTAAGCAGGATTTTTACAATCTTCAGCAAAATATGTTTCTTCTTCATTCGCCTGCGATGAGTTGTGATTTCATAATTTAGCATCTTTGGTCTATATTATACAATTGCAAAGTCTTTGGGCTGGGTGGCTAAGAATTCGCCGAAAAGTGTGAAAGTCCAGATTCATAAGCATTAGAAAGAATGTCGACAAAGGGAGGGTCGGCTTGTTGAGCCAGTCAAATGGGGCATACAAGTGTACAGCTATTTACTATGTATTGCACTTACCCACAGTTAATTACTAAGTCTGAGCTAAGGCAATAAATCCGTCTAGAAGCACAAATTCAAGACTGAAATTCCATCAAACAGTTTATCGCCAGGCAACGCGGATGCATGTAACCAATTTTGTTTGCTCTCAATGCTTTAAAAATCAGGTTCTATATATTATTATGTGATATATT